ACTGATGTACATACGTACGAAGTTCTATGTTGTTGTTGACTGACCGACTGACTCTTTATAGTTGACCGACGGTAAGGTTTTGATTGATGCTATAAAATAATCCAGTATCGTTAAAAAGGTTTACAATTTTAATGAACTTATGGGGTCTTCTGTCATGATGCTAAGGCTCTCAGCAATGTGTAGAGCTAATGCATTATATTGTTCTACATGGTTCAGAAGTTGAGAAGTGATGTCACCGTATCTAAAAATGTATGTAAAATAGAAATAACAACCTCGTGATATTGTGTTGGGATTGAGATACACTTAAAAAGTATATCTGTGATAGTAATCCACATACAGTCGTGGCTAACCCCTGAAAATTTAAATAAACTTATTGTGCTAGAAGCGAATGGGTTGGTAAAGTAATCTGAATAGTTAGTGTATGGTCTAAACTTAGTCCCACCACTTTATGTAATTTGCGTGATGAAACCGGGCTTTTCATTCGCGATTATAATATTATTAGGTCTGTCAGTACTGAACTTAGAATCTCTGCTAGTAATTACTTCCTCTGAGAAATCTTAAGTCACGATTGACTCAGTAACACTAGGTAGTATGTCTTCATTAAGTAAAATGTTAAAGTAAGTTTCTTCCATGTAAGGCTGTGCAGCTTTCTTAGCTGCTGAAAAACCACAGTGTATGGGACGCCTTATTTTCCACGTAAATAACCCGAAAGGAAAAGCTGAGAAACACATTCAGCAACCGTGTTCAGTGAAATCGTTAGCAGTTTTCGTTAAACTGTTTATATTGGGGATTAATTGTTAACTAACAGCTTAAAATGCTAATGTTAGGCATCGGGTACTTCACAAAAGTGGAAAATTTGTTGATAATTTTGTAAACGTCTACTGAGTGAAATAGTTAGAACATGTGTTACGTAGGCCCAACCACTGTCTACCGTGAATAGTGATGCTTACTTGTGAAAAATTAAGTTACAAGGAAACTAGAGGCAGCGAAACAAAACATGAAATGAGTTCATGAAGTCACAGACTGTTGATTTGAGGTATGTAGACATGATACAGATTATCTGGTTGGGGTCCATGTGGTAAAGGCGATAAGTAGTACCTGGAGACTTTAAGTTACATAGCTCAGAACTACTCATAATGACACACATACATCCAATCTTTAGCTTCATCTTGATCTCAATTCAGTCTGCCTCAGATCCTAATCTTGATGCCTAATCTTTCTTTTCATCATCGCCACATAATTCCGATCTTTATTTTCATCTTCTGTGTCTAGTAAAATAACACCCTTATATAATAATAATAATGATAATAATAATAATAATACAAAAATCACATAACCCGATGTTGTGGACGATTAGACAAAATTAATTACGTAGGTTGCTCACTCTAATAAATATTTGAATATAATTTTTAGAGTTTCTCATCACAAAGGTTAACAGCTCTCTCAGTCGGAATCCAAGGATTTAGCGTAATAAATCAGACACATGTTTTTGTGTACTCGACTTTGCTGCATATTATATAATGTTGGAAATAGTACCCTGCTATCCTGTCGATCATGGACCAGGTATCAGATATGCAATCTGTCAGTCAATAAGTCACTTACAACGCAGAACTTCGTACATGCGTATATCAGTCCAGATTAGCACACAGACGCAACTTTCATTTCAAATCCCATAGTGGTAGAGATAGTAGAAGTTTTAACAGTAATAGAGAAGATTAGGTTTCGAGGATATTATTCAAGAAGTATAATTCAGTGAGATAACTTTAAAAAGATGAGATGATGAGGAATCCATGATGTTAGAATTTGAGAGGACACAAAGAGTGAATCCACTTGCACCACTGCAAACGATTTTGAGCCATGTCGTCCAAAGTCTCTAACCACCGGTTAGTTTTGTCTCGCGGACCCCAACCAGGTAGCCTGCATCTACCGACATGACTCAGTACACTTGTCAGTGACTTCATGGATTTGTGCCGTGTTTTGGTTTGGCCGTCCCTAACTTTCTTCCAACCTACTCCTACACCACAAAACATAGTTCGTTGAGGCAGTTGGTGGTTAGGCGTACGTAACACATGTCTTAACTACCTCAACTGATGAAGTTTCAATACTTTATCTATTGACCTGTCATCCGTACCTAGTACTCGATTCCCAACTATCGCACTGCTTACTCGGTTGTCCCAGAATATACGAGCAATGCTTCGAAGACCTTCTGTAATCGAATACTAAAAACTTACGAATGTCCTCTACTCTCACTGGCCATGTTTCACTGCGATATAGTAGGATGAAGCAAACTACTGCGCAGTACACTCGTCCTTTCATTAGAAAACGGATATCTCACCTAAACTATAAGTGACGCAACTTGGCAAAAGCTAATTGAGCTTTCTGTATCCGTGCTAAGATTTCGTCAGTCACCAGGACATCAACACTGATGATAAGTGAAGCGGTCGATGCGCTCAACTGCTTCACTCCCTATCACAAGCCAATCTTGAGGCAACATTTTGCATTTGAAGGGGGAAAAGCGCATCCCGAACATGCCTGCAATGTTGCCTTGGTTAGTCAAAAGACTGCATTTTGTCAGCGTCTTCACCGAATAGGACTAAGTCAGCAAGCGAGTCTACTGGTAAAAGGTCCACTCCTGAAGAGTTAGACGACGATAATGTTAACTCTAAAAGCATGTCTACGACAAAGTTAAATAAGAATGAAGAGAGTGGACAGCCCTGATGGACAACACTTGAAGTAAATAATTCCGATGACAGTTCGCCATAAGCTCTCACTCGACCAGTGGTGTTCGAGTAGAGGGCTTGTATAAGGTTAATGTACTTCTTTGGTACACCTTTCAATGACAGACACTTCCGCAGAACCTCACGATCCACAGAGTCGAATGTCGCCTGATCCAGGAAAACAACTATTGTAGGACGCCTTTGTCTTTGTTTCAGGACTTGTCGTAGTGTGAAACTGTGATCTATACAGCCATGTCTGGGTTTGAAACCAGCCTGGTTTTCTCTAGTGCACTCTTCACGAGCACTAGTAAGGCGTCTAAGTATAATGGAGGCTAACAGTTTAGAAACTATATTAGTTGGACTTAATCCCCTGTGATTGTCACAAGAAGACTTTCGTCCTTTCTTATAAATTGGGACAATCAGTGATTGAAACCAGTAGAATGGGATTACGTCCAGTGCCCAGGTTCCACCTAACATCTCAGTCAATGTAGCTGCTAAAACCACCATTCTTAAAAATCTCAGGGGTAAGCCTATCAGGCCCTGTTGCTCTACCTCACTTCAGACTTACTATTGCTTTTCCAACTTCGTAAAGACTCGAAGGACTTACATCGATTTGCCATTCAGGATGACTGGAGATCGTGGGTAACCGAAGTGTGGCTGAAGGCCAGTTGAACTGACCCCTAAAGTGTTCTGCCCATCGATCCAATCTCCTGGATTGAGAATGAACGATACAACCATCCTTTTCTGAGATATTTTTACTAACAGATGGATTTATAATACCGATTTCCTTTATAAGGCAGAGCAACTGTCTACTTTTCCCTATTGCCGCTGCCTTTTCCATCTCTCTCGCTTTCTCCACCCACCACTGTTCGCGGTCGTTGCGTAGGCTTCTTATCAGCCTGCGCTTAAGTTGACTTCGCTCTTCATCGTGTTGAGAGCCGCGTGGGATAAGTTTTCGAGCATCCATCAGTTCGGTAGAGTCTATCGATATCCATGGCTTTATCCTAGACTTATGGTTTACCTTACTAGCAGATGTCACTGCTGTTTCCGCAGCGTTTTTGATATCATTCCGACCTGCTTCAGGGTGGGCATCACTTATGCCTAACCGTTTTTCTAGTTGTTCCTGAAATATATTCTTAGCTATTCTATCATTAAGTAGGATCTTAAGAGGTTTCAATGCAGTGTCTTTCCCACGTCCGGTAAGTCGCAAACAAATACGTGCTCCCACTGGGACATTATCTGAATCTAAACATGCTCCCCAGAACGAGCACATGTTTTGGGGCATGTGCTATGCTATCTAGTTGTTTACGAGACAATAGTTTTAATTATCAAGCCAATCCTGCACGCCCAACGTAGTATTACTACTGTAATGAACGAAAACGCTAAGACAAGATGAAACAAGTGCTGTGTTTGCTGACGACACTTTTCTGACAAAACATGTATACCTAGTCTTCAGATTTCCATTCGCATGACAAGCAGATTATTGGCTGTCTTTTATCACATAGCTTTTAGTCTTCAAAACATGTTGATCGCGACATACACCGTAATCTAACACTTCTCTTCATTAGTAACTTCTGGGTGACACTCCGCTGCACATTATTTCTAAGCCAGGATACGAGTATTATGAACCACACTACTACTACTTTTTCTGGTTTGAGGTTTAACAGTGGAAGACTCAAGCTTGTAGATTAATTTACATCCAGAAACTTCAACTAATTCACAAAATTGTGATTATAAACGATGCTTTTTTTAAATCTTATAAATTACCTATATCATAGCTTAGATCTAATCTATCATCAGTCAGTCTAGGTTAGTGAAATTCCAAAAATAAATTTGAAAATTTGTGTACAAAATTATTTAAAAAAAATCATACGATTGCTGGTTTTTTTATGGTCTCGTGTGTTGTTACAAGTGTGAGGGCGGATGCCACTTCCCGGCTGCCCACACCGTGGAAGAGAATTTCTCAAGGAGTTTGAAAAAGAAATTAGATTCGTGTTGGTCTCGGTAACCTAAGAGCGTGACCACAGAGTCCATCTGCTTGAAGCCGGTCACGCATGCCCTTTTTATGGGAAGTTTGTTAAGTGTTAGCCCCGCTCACGATAAACAATCCCAACCATCACGTCAAAGTAGCAGTTACGGTAATTGCTTGTTATACTTTACTGTATGTCTGTTGTAAATTGAGTAAGTTTTTAATTCATAAAAAACGAAATCATGCACAAAACATAATTTTTTTTTAGAGTTGTTATCAAAACTTACATATTTTATTGTATTGTTTATCCATAGAAATGAAATTCAGTCGTGAAATATATCAAGTTGTATCGTTTTGGAAAACGTGATCACATTATTTAATCGATCATGTCAATTTATAGTCATCATTATCAAGATCAACTGTTAAAAATCTCAAGAAAAAATACCAGTTCTGGATTATGGCTAGGATTTATCATTCCTGCGTTATTATTTAAAACCGGTAATAAACTACTAGCTTATGAATTTTTTCTATCTTTCATCTCTTTACTCTTCTTAACAATAAATAGTCATTTTAAACATACTATCATTCCTATATGTATATGGTTAAATTGTCAACATTTTTATCATGTCAATACAATGATACGTTGTTTGTTGACAGTGATATTTGTTTTATGTTTTTCTTATAAATTAATGCGTTTATTTCCGTGTTCATTTACATTCGGTGAAACTATACTCATTGCTCATTTGTGTGCTGTATTTCTATTGACTGAATGTAATTTCATGATACCATTTTTAATTATTTTTCTAATTGAACGTTATTCCATTCCATGTTCAATAAGAAATGCTTTACTGACATTGGCCACAGCTGTTATTTTTATTGGATACTTTTGGATTTCTACATGTCGTGTTCAATTACCTATGAAATTTATTTTGAATCAAATCAAATGCTTTATTGTCTCGACTAATTTCATTCTATGCTTATTTTGGTTAGGTTTATTTGTATTTTGTGTGTATATTGCCATTGTTTATCGTTTGCCTAATCATGATTTACATCGAATTACAAATAATGGGAATATTTCGATCCATTCAGAAGTTAACAATCATTCAACTACTATATCATCATTATCCGACAAATCGGATTTATCCGATCAAAGTGATGCTTATCAGTTGTGTAATGAAAATGAATTCACTAGTAATAATGATAGTAATAATAATAATAATAATAATAATAATAATAATAATAATAATAATAATGATAATAACAATGATGATAAAGAAAGAAGATTTCAACTTCGTAAATTATTTCATTTTGCTGCTGGTATTGTATATGCCACTGGTTTACTCTATGCACCACATCTTCTTTCATTGACATCGACTATATTACTTTTTGTATTTTGGTATTTTGAATGGATTCGAAGAAGAGGAGTAAGTTTGTTTGTTTGTTTCTCAAAGAAATTAAATTTATATGATATTGATAATGATCACGAAACAATTTGATACCACAAGTTGAGTTTTTACCTAGATATATCTATTTAACACTATACTATCAAACAGTAGAGAATGGTAGTTACATGATTGATTCTTTTGATAGAATCATATCTCCAGTCAGTCAGTCAGTCAGCTATAACGTAGAACTTCGTACGTATGTACATCAGTTCAAATTGTCATACCACATTAGCACACAGAGAGATGAGATTGTCAGTTAAAATCACATAGTATTATGGGTAGAAGAAGTGTTAACGGTTATAGAAAGGACTATTGTTTGAGGCCACGCGAAGCAGCAGTAGAGAATCATATCTATATTGATATAAACCTGTGCAGAAAAAGCCATAACAGCTCTAAACTAATCATTCATTCAACTGAGGAAGACTGTTAAGGAATTACTAGCAATAATATATTGTAGTGAACGATAACACAGGTGGGGCAACCGGATTGTATTTAACGAAAATTACAGAGTTACAGAGTAAAATCGGAAAACCATATCGTTAATTTGCAAAATATCAGTTCATCATATCGAACTGGACTGTTCCTGTTGCAAAACATCAATCCATTGTCACTATTCATGCGTTTCATACAAATTCCATTGTTTTCTAACTCTTCCTTTCATGATCTTCCCCCATCTTCTGCTGCCAGATATTACGTTGACGCTCACGTCATATGCTACTTATAAGTAGCTCGCACCACAATATTTGTCTTAACCTATTGGAAACCTGTACATACCTGGACAGTATCATTGATAAACAAGGCAGATCTGATGCAAAATTGAAGACATGAATCAGCAAAGTGAGGGTAGCATTTCTACAGTCGGAGAACTTATGGAACTCAAAACAATTGTCTATTAGCTAACACCCAAGTGAGAATTTTCAATACAAACATCAAAACTGTTCTACTTTGTGGAGCCGAAACTTGCAGAACTATTGAAAGTCATCATCCACAAGATACAAGTGTTTATTAACAGTTGTCTACTCAAGACACTAGATCTGTTGACCAGACACCATCAGCAACAACCAACTGTGGGAGAAAACAGCAGATTCCAGATGAGGAGGAAATTAGGAAAAGGCGCTAGGGGTGAATAGGACTTACTTTGTGTCACCAGGTGAGTCCTCACCTGGAATCCTCAAAGCAAAAGGAAAAGAGTAAGACTAAAGCACACATTGCGCTGACAAATGAAGACATACATAGAAAGGCTGAATAACAGCTGAATGGAACTACAAAGGAAGGCCTAGGACAGGGTAGGTGGGAAAATGCTCGTCGGCGATCTATGATTCATTATGGGTAACGGGCGTAAGTAAGTAATATTTTGTTCAAAAGAGAGTCCGCCTCAAGAATGTATTATATAAATTAGAACAAAATTAAAAGGGAATTCATCGAAAATACCTTTCTTTTTTGACGAAATCATCTCGCTTAATCTGCACATTTCGTATTTCTAGTTATTTGATGAACATATAAGTTTACAGAAAAATAGAAGAGATAGCAACATAAAGTGTTCCGAGATTTTTATGAATATCGAATTTCAGGGAGATACAGCTGCCGAAATCTTGAATAAACGAAATTCAAAATCCCTAAATAAAACCTATCCAGCTAAGCTTCCTATTGTCTTCTCAAGTTGGCCTCGTGTTGTTTGAGAATTATTGTTATTACTATTGTTATTAATATTCACAGGAGCACCTGATTAACACTGGACATATTGCTTTAAACTAATTGTTCTCCTGAAGTAATATATACAGTGAAAAGTATTGAATCAAAAACTTATACTCTGTGTATAAAAGCAATACGTCCAACCTCTCATTCTTCCTTGACGTCAATCCCTTTCTCTAGTATGTTTCTGGTTTTGTCTTGTTTTTATTACCAGATAAGTGTAGACTACCTCATTGGGATGCGCAAGATGATAGTAATCGGTGGTTAGAGACCTTGAATGACATGGCTGAAAGTCGTTTGCAACAGCGCAGGTGCATCCATTCTTTGGCTTCTCTCAAATCCTAATTCTCTCGATTCTTCTTCACCTTTGTCTTTCTCTTTTTAAGTTTATTTCTACTACCTCTACTACTATGGGATTCAAATTGACAATTGCATCTGTGTGCTAATGTAGTATGGCAACTTGAACTTATGCACGTATGTACAAAGTTTTACGTTGTAAGTGACTGATTGATTATAATTTGTATTTTTAAATTGTAATCAGTTATTATGTACATGATTATTACTCAATTGTTTTCTTATGACCTTTGTATTCTTCATTTTCTTGATATATATCAAGTGGATAATTATCTCTTACATTTCTAACCATTAAATTATGCTCATTCTCCTATCCTTCTAAACTATGGATCATCATTACTCAACCTCCTTTTGATATTTGAAACTTCAGGTCACTCTATCATGCAATTCTTTCTATAAACTTACATGTAAATACTTTCTCATTGTAGAGTTGTGGAGATAGTTGAACTTTGCTGAAATCATGAACTGATTTTAGTTTAAAGCACTGTTGAAAGCCTAGAAACAAGGGACGGCCACTTCGTCCCACTCCAGTGCGCATCCACGAACCCTGCTTGCGGTAATCAAACCCAGGTCCTTCGGCCTCACGCGTGAACACTTAACCTCTAGACCATTGGGCCGGTATCCAACGGTGTTCATGTTTAACTTTAGTCAATCCAAGGTATTGTGCAAACTCAACGGGATCACATCCGACACGGATGTGTCGGTGCTGATGGGTCCCATATTAAGACGAAACGGCTGTCCAGCACTTTCAGGTTTCTAATGGTGGTCTAACAATGATCGATCCACAATTCCAATGAAATATAAATACGAATGTACAACTTCAGCAGAATGATTTCGTTGAAAAGAAAATTTTCTTCCTTTAATTCTCTGTATGTTCATTCAGTAACACGATTCGATCACACTTATTTCGGTTTAGACTATTGGGTAATATCACATAACCATAAAAAAGCAATATATAACTCAAGATTAAGTGAATAAACTTATACTTAATAAGTGACACGCAAGATACTTTGGATCTGTTGGCCAAACACCATCAGCAAAAACCCAGTGTGGAACAGAACATTGCCAGATTTCTGCAGAGGAAGAAATTAGGAAACCGCTGAAGAAGGATAAGACACACATTTCGCAAAGTACCCAACTGCGTCACAAGACAAGTCCTCACTTAGCATCCTCAAGGCCGAAGGAAAAGAGTTAGTCCAAAGAACATATTACTGGGAGAATTAGAGACAAACATGAATGAACAAGAATTAACGGTAATTGGATGGGACTAAGAAGGAAGACCCAGGACAGAGTAGGTTGGAGAATCCTGGTCGGCGGTCTATGCTCCACGAAGGGTGACAGGCGTAAGTAAATAAAATAGTAGTAACTGAAACACGTGAACATAAGTTATTGTAGACAATACATTGACATAAATGTATGTAATTCTAAACAAGTTTTTTGTTTTAATTTTGAAAACATATACCTAAAATTATTTTTAAATTTTTCTTTTAAATTATAGCCATCTACTGTTTCCTCCTATGTTAGTTCTTTGGTTAATCCATTTCGTGATAAACAAGATTCCGGTGAAATTCTATTTACACCTATTGCACTTTTACTCGGTCTGAGTATTCCTATTTGGTGGCCACAAAATATAAGCAATGATATGACTACAATTAGTATAGGTAAGTAAGTATCAAAATTTCAAAGAAATATTTTATTTGAAAAAAAACACTTATCTCCTCCAATAGTACACGTTAGTTTCAATTTTTAGTGGCTGAAATAGGTCCATCACTGTAGTGTCCCGCTACCTGACTCCAGTTCGAACGAATGATCGAGTAGGCGATGAAATAAATCTTCCTTTTCAATGTCCATGTATCATACTTAGGCAAACTCCGTTTGTATGATAGCGGTAATATGAAGCCAAATAACTGACTCAACTGGATGACTTTATTTCATGCAATCGTTCCTGAACACAGACGAGAATAAAAGGTGTACAAGCAAAGGAAAGTAAATCGAAGTGGACAGGGCAAGTTAGCCAACTCAATGTGATGAAGCGTAACTAGGTAACTAGGTTGATAGACGTGTGAATAACTCAAGAATGTACTAGTTAATTTGTCCATATGTTGGGACAAGCCTTGTACACACACTGCAAGGTTACAAGGATAGTAGGTCAATGGGCTTGTGTTAAGCTTTGTAGATTGTGTTTCAGTGAAGATTTAGTTTCTTCTTGAAAGTGTTCACCGATGAGGTTGAAATCAGTTGTTCAGGTTAAGCGTTCCAGTCATTGATCACTCAATGTAAACAAGGAATTCCCATTCTGAGTTTATTCAATTTTCATTTTTGAATCGTCTTGCAGCAGTGGCTTCAAAGATGATTCGTTCTGAAGGGGGAGCAAAGGGATAAGTTGTGTCAACAGCCAAATGGTTATTGAAAATACACAATGCCAGTAGTAGATCATCTCGCGTCTTGAAATAAGATAAGGGGATTCTTCTGGAATCATATTGAAACTCTTATTTTTAGTTTCATTTGTAACCATGAGTCGATCAATGTTAGACCACCATTAGAAACCTGGAAGCACTGGACGGCCGTTTCGTCCTGGTATGGGACTCATCAGCAGTGCGCATCCACGACTCCTGCACCCCGCAGGATTGAAACCCGGCACCTTCGGTATTGTACGCGAACGCCCTAACCGTTAGACCACTGAGCCGGTATCTAACGGTGTTAATGTCTAATTTGATCAAATTCACGGAGTTGCGCAACCTCATACCCTGTATACATCCGAACAGGTTTTTAGCACAAGATTACGGCATTATTATACTTGTAATGTAGTAGTTTGTGTCTAGTGAGAAGATACTTTGTTTACTAAGGAAGCGTTATGGAGTAGTAGCCTAAGTGGAGGAGAAAAGAACAAAACAAGAAGTTATCTGATGGTAATAAACAACAAGTAACAATAACGTAAGATGTTAATAAACTATCCTTATCGTAAAAATAAATATTAACTTACTTTACAAATTCTGTTATAAAAAAAAGGTAATAATGTGCTCACCAGTGACTAGTTCTGTAAGGATTCCGGAGGTGCTGACAAAAGGTGATACCTTTTGGGATTGAATGAAGTCACTAGTAAAATTAGAGACTGACAATACCTGTAATGTTTCCCATGTTATCGTAAGTGTATCTTACGCACAACTCGGTCATTTTTCTTGTCACTGAGTCAGCTACAACGTAGAACTTTGTATCTATGTACATCAATTCAAGTTGCCATACCACATTGTCAATCTAAATCCCATAGTTTTAGAAGAATTAGTAGTATTATTGGTAATCGAGATGATTAGGGTTCGACGATATGACTTAAGAAGTATAAACCAGTGAAATGACTTCAGCGATTTGTACCATGCCTCTAGCTTTCTTCCAACGTACTCCTACATCACTAAACATCGCTCTATGGGGCAGTTGGCAGTTGGGCATATGTAACACATGTCCCAACCACCTCAACTGATGAAGATTCACAACTTCGTGAATTAATTTGCCATCTTTACCTTGTACCTTTTTCCTAGCCCCCCCCCCCCCAGCGTTGATTACCCCATTACTTACTTACCTACTTACGCCTGTTACCCCCAATGGAGCATAGGCCGCCCACCAGTTTTCTCCAACCAACTCTGTCCTGGGCTTCTCTCTCCAGTTCTGTCCAATGTTTGTTCATTCCTCTCATATCTTTCTCTATTTCTCGGCGTAATGTATTCTTTGGCCTTCCTCTTTTCCTTTTGCCTTGAGGGTTCCATGTGGGGGCTTGTCTCGTGACGCAGTTAAGTGCTTTTCGTAGCGTGTGTCCTATCCACTTCCACCGCTTCTTCCTGATTTTCTCATCCACTGGAATCTGGTTTGTTCTCTCCCACAGTTCGTTGTTGCTGATGGTCTGGCCAACAAATACGAAGTATTTTGCGTAGACAACTGTTCATAAACACTTGTATCCTCTGGATGATGGCTTTGGTAGTTCTCCATGTTTCCGCTCCATACAGTAGAACTGTCTTGACATTTGTATTGAAAATCCTGATTTTGGATTTGGTTGAAAGTTGTTTGGAGTTCCAGATATTTTTCAACTGTAGAAATGCAGCCCTTGCTTTGCCAATCCGTGCCCTCACATCTACATCGGATCCACCTTGATTGTCGATGATGCTGCCCAGATATGTAAAGGTGTTAATGTCTTCCAAGGCATCTCCATCAAGAGTGATTTGGTTGGTGCATGTTGTGTTGCATCGAAGAATTTTGCTTTTTCCTTTATGTTGAGACCTGCTGCTGCAGAGGCTGCTGCTACACTAGTCGTCTTCTCTTGCGTTTGTTGTTGCGTGTGCGATAGAAGAGCCAAGTCATCTGCGAAGTCCAGCTGCGTCCTAACTGTCCAGTTGATACCGTGCTTCCCTCCAGATGTTGACGTCTTCATAATCCAGTCGATGAGCAGGAGAAAGAGAAAGGGTGAGAGTAAGCAACCTTGCCTGACACCGGTCTTCATCTCGAAAGACTCTGTTAGCTGTCCTTCATGTACGATTTTGCAGTTGAATCCATCATAAGAGTTCCGTATGATGTTAACTATTTTCTCAGGCACACGGTAGTGTCGAAGAAGCCTCCACAGTGTTTTCCTATCCACGCTGTCGAATGCTTTCTCATAGTCGATGAAGTTGATGTAGAGTGGTGAGTTCCATTCTATTGATTGTTTCACAGTGATCCGTAATGTAGCAATTTGGTCAGTACACGATCGATCCTTACGAAATCCAGCCTGTTGATCTCGAAGTTGGACGTCTACGAAGTCCTTCATTCTGTTTAACAATACCCTGTTGAAGACTTTGCCTGGTATTGAAAGAAGAGTGATGCCTCTGTAGTTCTCACACTTGCTGAGATCGACTTTCTTTGGTATTTTGATGAGGTATCCTTCTTTCCAATCTGATGGTACTTGTTCCTCATCCCAAATCTTCTTGAGGAGGATGTGAAATATTTTCACAGTTGCTTCTACATCTGCTTTCATTGCCTCTGCTGGAATGTTGTCTGGTCCTGCTGCTTTGCCGTTCTTGATTTGTCTGATGGCCATACTGATCTCCTCAATCGTAGGTGCGCCAATATTAATTGGGAGATCCGTGGATGCTGCTTCGATGTTGGGTGTGTTCAGTGGAGCTGGTCGATTCAAGAGTTCCTTAAAGTGCTCTACCCACCTATTTCTCTGTTCTTCAGTGTTGCTGATTATTTTGCCTTCCTTACTTTTCACTGGTCGTTCTGGTTTACGATAGCTTCCAGCGAGCTTCTTTGTAGTTTCGTACAATTGTCACAAGTTTCCTTCTCTTGCAGCCTTTTCCGCCGTCATTGCTAGATCTTCCACATATTTTCGTTTGTTAACTCTGATGCTCATCTTCACTTGCCTGTTTGCTTCTGTGTATGCAGCTTGTGCGGTAACTTTATCTGCTCTTGTTCGGCTGACATTGATTGCTGCCCTCTTGTTCCTCCTTTCTTCAATTTTTGCGAGAGTATCAACAGAGATCCATTCCTTGTGATGGTACTTCTTGTGACCCAGAACTTCGTGACATGTTGAAGTGATTGCCTCCTTAATCCCTTTCCAATTGTTCTCCAATGTTGCGTCCTCTCCATTGTATAGATCCTGAAAGGCCTGGATTGATTACCCCATGGTTCAAGGATATATGAGCAATGATGGTGTATGGTTTTTTCTCAAAGATTTTATTTCAAACACTTACTTTTACTGTTTGTGTGTATTTTCCGTTTGGCATATTTATTGAGTTGTGCTACACTGGAGATTTTCATAACAGTCAGTTTTGAATAAGCCCAGGCAAACTAGACGCGAACTGACTAAAATCATAGATGTAGGTCGTTGAATTCAAAACCTGATTTTGATTGAGTTTAATTTCATATCCACTGATCATGTACAATATTCAGTTTCTTCCAAATGAAAACAAAAATCGAACGTTTATTCAATGTTATGGTATTTATAATGTTATTATTTATTTCTATCGTATAAATCATCGTCACACTGTTAGTGTTTTCAATAAAGCTTTGTAAACCAAGAAGCACAGATTAGTTTAAAATAGACTTGTAAATGCATTCCAATATGAGTATATACTGGTAGTATACCCTCAAATGCCCTGGTACTGCTGAGAGTTTACAATCCTTCTCGAGATGATCTCATATAATTATGCGTTTATAGCCACTACCAGGGAAGTCCTATTCATTGTCTCCTCGTGGTACGAGTGTTGTTTGTGAAATTAGAAGAACAAAAAGATAATGTTCAGTGAGAGAGACTTAAACTGGGTTAGTGGAGGATCTATCTATGGGAATCGGAAAATCGTCATTCCAAAACAATGCCGCCCATCAGCTCCAGAACCCTGACGGAACGAATGACGTATGAACCTATTTTTAGTGACTGGCTGCCATGGGACTGCAAGTCCTGATGTTGCTTCAATGCCTTGTAAATCAGATCTCTGGGTGAAAGGCTCCAGAAGTAGTCCTCCTGAGAAAACTACCTGCTTCAGCTTAAACACCCACATCCATCCAAATCCATTGATTTGTGTGGCGCATAAATATTTGGATACCCCTGTGTATCACTGATTATGTTTTGAAATAAATAAAATAAATTGTTAACACTAACGAATTGATAATAGAGAATGGTCATTGATGCCTTAAGTGAAACTCGGCCTGGTGCCCTGCTGAGATTATTTCCAGTCCCAAGGCTAGATAAAGAAGGGGAGGCTTGGAAAATGGTGGTTAGTGGCCCTATCCCGTAGAAATCCAACTCGCCAGAAAAAAACGCTAACCAGAAAAAACAATTCGCTGATCGGCGGCCTATGCTCCATTAGGAGTTAGAGGCATAAGTAAGTAAGTAAGCCTTTGGTGGAAATATTCTATGCCATCTATCATTTTTGTGTGTAGTGTCTACGTTTATGAAGTCATTCAACTAAGTCGATTTTTTAACTTTCATTTTCATTTATTAAAACTAGGTAATCTATGCTATGAATTAAATGTAAAACCATCCTCATGGTCAGGAGTTTTATCCATAGCTATAGGTGATAGTTTTGCTGCATTAATTGGCCGAGCTTATGGAAAACGTCGTTGGCCTGGATCACATCGAACATATCTAGGATCTTTGGCTTCTTTCTTATCTCAGGTATATATATACATATGTTTGTTTGTTTGTGTGTGTGTGTGTTATACATATCATTCCGTTAGGAAATTCAATCTCCGGTGTAAAATACTAACAACTTAGTGTAGTTTTGTCATGATTAATGGAAAACATCTCATCATAAAATATTTTACATTAGGTTTTGTTGTTGTGATTCATAAAGTAGTTGTCTTTCAAAATGCCATTAGGACCATCAGGGAACAAGAAAGTCAGTTTTTTTCTAATCAGACTGTCTTTACGCCTCCTAAAACTGGGTCTCAAATGATATTTCGAAGCTTTTAGTGTTCGAATCCGATAGCATTGTAACTTTCGCCGGGAAAGTTTTGTCCATTTATTTCTCATGCTGAGGGTATTTTACTACAGTAACCCAACTGAAATCTAAACTCAATCAGTAAAATATGTTCGGATAGTCCTAGATTATAGTGGACCAACCGCGTTGGCTAACTGTTTAAGGCATTCAACTAACTTCCAACCATTAACTACTCTAAGGTTCAAACGTTATACTCACCTAATTCGGTTTCAGTAATTGGATCGTTGTATTATTAGCCGTTATGCTTAGAATATAACTTTTACATTCAGGTCTGATTCACAAGGCGGTGAGGCAACATCATATGCAGTCTAATGATAGCCGATGACCAACAGTAGATTCATATGCTATTCGTTCCATCAGAATCCTGAAGTCCATTTACATTATCGGTTTGGAATGAGAGTTTTCCAACTCCTTCAAGTGGATCCTCCGTATCTGCCAACCTGGTTAAAGAGCCGGACACTTGCTATTCGTTCTCTAAATTTTGTCACGAGAAGGCAGTGAATAAGACTTTCCTGGCAGTGGCTATAAATGTACATGGCCACATGAGAGCATTTGGAGAGGGAAAGCGGACTTTCCACACACACACACACACACACTTAGAGAGCACTCAAAAGTTATCCTTTTTTCAGCTGAATTTTTATTATCCTTAAAATAATATCATAAAAATTGTTAAACAATTTTAATCTTGTACACTGTTATAATAATGTCAACTTGAATTGTTAAATTATTCATTCCTACTGTCAATTCTTATCATCTAACTGTATTTCTAATTGTTGTCCGTTTGATGACCGAGATAGGATTCGCCTTGACGATTTCATTTCACTGTACTCAATTAGATTTACGGTAATCGAAATTATTCAACGTGCACATGTGCTTTCATGGTCTACGTTACGTCTAACAACTGACTGATTAGATGGGTGAAGGTAACTTGATTCTCTTCTCGTTGACAGTTATAATACGAGATGCAATAATGCGAAAAAAGTAATCTTTTTAATTCAGTGTGGATAGTTGTCTAAGAGTCTGGTGATTTCGTGATGCAGTATTACAGTCGTGTAGGTTGATGAGGCATCATTTGGTGCCGTCAAATGGCGTTTCTGGAAGGTATTTTATTCCTCGAGGCACAAAAACTCATCGCGTGGATATGTTTTGTGAGCAACTTGATGCACTGGCATCGTACTACTAGCAAGTGTACGCCACTTTCATATCAGAAACATATGAGTTTTCTCCTATGTATCCCTTAGTATACATGCACATACGTACAACCATCCCTTAGGAAAGTAGGTGGTCGCCACTCCCATAGACGTATTTGCTACAACAGACTGTCTCTCATGCAATACCTACATATCACTAGAACATAAGCTTCCACCGTAGCGCACTTTATGATATGCATAATAAGCTGTTATTGAGATTCAATCCTATGTAGTGGTTACTCACAAAGAGTACGAAGTCCTAGCTTGTAGCTGACTGCTGACTCACACGTGTGCAACGGAGTGTATCCTAGAAGTTGCTATCACAGAGTAATGTCAGGAGATCTAAATGTATGACATGATCAGTTTATTTCAAAAACCTTTAGATCCTAGCTCAATGGTCTAGGGGTTACGCGTTCTCACGCGAGACTGAAGGTCCTGGGTTCGATTCCCACGTACGAGTGTCGTGGAAGTGCATTGATGAGGAGTCCCGTACGATGATGAATCGGCCTTCCAATGCTTCCAGGTTTTTAATGGTGGTCTAACACTGATCGATCCATGATTTCACTGAAACTCAACATTCTCCACAACTCTATAATGAAGAAAAAGACAACCGATAACCTGCTAGAAATTGTAGATGAACCTCTGAAGCGTATATGTACATATTTCAGATGACTTTTTATCAGGAATGGCATGCATTTATTCCGTCTACACTAAAAACTTATAGGAAACAAGTCAGTCAGTCAGTGAGCTACAACATAGAACTTGGTACACATGTACATACATCAGTTCAAGTTGTCATATCACATTAACGCAGAGATGCGATTGTCAATTCAAATCTCATAGTTTTAGAAGTAGTAGAAGTATTAGCTGTATTATAAAAGATTAAGGCTCGGAGAAATTATTCTAGAAATATAATCCAGCGAAGTAAATTAAGAAAGAGAAATGTGATAAGGAATGCAGAAGACTAGAATTTGAGGGAAGATGAAGAGTGGATGCACCGGTGCCATTGCAAACGATTCTGAGCCATGTCATTCAAAGTCTCTAACCATCTGTTACTGCCTGCTTGCGGACCCCAACCAGGTAGATAGTCTATACCTACTAACATGACTCAGTCCACTTGTCAGTAGTGACTTCATAGATTTGTGCCATGTTTTGGTTTGGCAGCCTCACAAGGTTCTGGTAAGGCATCGTCAGATATACCAGTTTATCTACACTAAACACTAATTAATTGAATGTGAAACTGCTTCTAACCAACACTCTATTCATTAGTTTTCGTTATCATCAAACATTATCTTGATTAATTGATGAATGCTTGAATAAAATCATTCAACTTTATCCTTACATAAATTTTTTTTTAAAATCTAGATAATTGCATGGACAATGATATCGTATTATTATCAATGGCATTGGTTCACTGGTATTTTACCAATATTTATTGGTGTACTCATTGAAGCTTATACAGATCAAATTGATAATTTAGTCATACCATTAATTGTGATGATTATTTTTTTATAAGTTTGTAAATATAGATTATTATTGAAATAATGAATGAATGATTAGTAACTTATTTTGATATAATAACAATAATAATAATAATAACAATACATTGTATGTAGTTAAATTTACAATTGTTTTCCTATAACCTTTTTTTTCAATTACACAATTAACTTGTAAAAAGACAAGAGTTGATGCGAAAGTACGGTTGGTCATAGAATAACATCTTTTGAAGAACCAGTTTTTTAATTGGTTATATCTATTGTAGCAGTTTGCGTTGAGCCAGAAAGTATCTTGAGTAATTAGGGGAGCTTACAGAATAACGTAAATGAGAAGCGCTAGAAGAAAGATAAATTGAGTCGACGACCCAGCGGATCGGGCGGAATACACTTACATCTCATAAGAATAGTAACTTACAGCAATCAATGATCACTCAAGCTTCAAAATAAGAGAATCTGAAAAGCGAAGTTAGGAGCGAATAGTGTGAAGATTCCAAACCGTTACATCTCTGCTCCCATCAGGAACTGAACCTTCACGTACACCGTCAAATAAAGTACATTTGAATCACCAGAACTTGGTAGTTTGCATCTTCTATCGACTAGTCAGTTTTCGATATGATAAGGAGAATACCACCACTCACTACTTTGTATACTTTCACAAGCGTATTTAACTCATGCGTTATTTAATTTTCTAATAAATTTCCAGCTGACAATAGGAATCCAACCAATCTAGACAAATTTCCTAGCTGAACATTAAAGAGTAATGCTTTTATTCTGTAGGCAGTTTAGCGAATTTTATCAATTACCCCCATAAAAACCAGAAAACATTTCAACAAGATGAAATTGAAATCATTTATGCTTGTCCAGTTTTTAAACGCTGTCTAACTCTCGCAATTTATTTTACTCTCAAAATAGTGTGCTACTCAGACATTGTACACTGAACAAAGTCGGAAAAATTCCAATTGAAATACTTCATATTAATTTTTAACTTAGCTATATTGTAGTATATCGGTTCATTTAATATTTTGTGGACAACAGAATTTGAAAAGATCTATACATTCTTAACTACTTTCTAATCGAGTCTTGGTGTCTTAATATAAATGGGCAGGGGGACTAATTATGCCAGATAATTTTATACAAGTATGAGATTCAGATCAGTCCGATTAATAGACGTTCCAATAACAATTCGGAATAGGTGCAACAATCAAATGGTTATAAGTTGACTGAATATAACAAGAATCTAATGTGTTAGCCAATTAAAAACGAAGTCATCAGGACAAAGTGGAGATAATGAGTATGTGGATCACCAGTCACTTAAAAGCAAGGGATGTTAGACAAGTGACTAGGATCCTTCCATAGCAAATTAATAAGAATGTTTTCATCAATATAGGGTTGTGGAGATTGTTTAGCTCCATTGAACTCATGAATCAATTAATATCAGACCATCATTAGAACCCGGAAGCACTGGACGGCTGTTTCGTTCTATCATGGGACTCTTTGGTAGTGCGTACCCATGACCCCTACATGTGGAAGTTGAGCTGAGAACCTTCGGTTTTGGGTGCAAACATTTTACCTCTAGACCAATGAGTTATCATCCAGTGGTGTGAATGTCTAACTTCAATCAATCCATGATCTTGCACAATCTTCATCCGGTGGGTAACTCTCACATCTAACAGCGTTGAACCCTACTGGTTACGACTTCTCACTAGAACTCTGAGAATTTCCTCACGAAATAAGTCACCAGTGAGCACATGATAATTGTCATTTTATGGGGAGGGGCATGGATGCCCTCTGCTTGTGAGTCCTATACCAGGACTAATCGGCCGACCAAATGCTTCCAGGTTTATGGTGGTGGTCCAACATTGGTCGGTTCATATCATAATCCATAAGTGGCTTTTATAGTCCTTTATTTCAATACAAAATCATGAGTAAAATTGATAGAAATGCTGAAGCTATTATTCTACTAACTACCAAAGTATTTATGTTCTGATAACTTTGTTTATACAAATGAATGTCACAATATTCAAATTAATTTGCATATCACTAAAAATATCTAAAACTTGACAGAGTAACTTCCTTACATCTTCCTTTTCTCAATTATTTCTAATTAAAATATTGGTACAAATGTAAGAGATATTGATTTACTTCATATTACAAGGTAAGTTGTTTTTTTGTCTAACTAACATCTTCACAAGAATTATTATCATTAACCAAACAAACAGATGTTATTTAACCTTATTTACTGAAATATAAGTTAGTATGTACAAAAATATAAATTGTGCAGAGTAAATACAACAAATCATCAATTATTTTATTCAAATATAGAAATTATTGAAGTATTATTGATCATTTTTGAAGATGAATAAATTACTCACAATATTTCTATGTATTTTTTTTAAATGTCGTCACTTACTCATTAAATCAATAACTATGATTGTAGGTAGGTAAGCAAATATTTCTTTCGACAATTTAACAACACCACAGATCAGTCAGTAATCGACTTCAATATAGTTAAGTGAATCTGAGTTGGCATTTGAGGTTTCAAGAAATTTGTTTGTTTTTTAGTAAGCTTCATTTAAACATTGTTGATGAAACTGCCTACTTGCCATATTTACGCCTCTTACCTCTAATGGAGTATTGGTTGCCGACCAGCATTCACAAACCTACTCTGTCGTGGACCTTTGTCTCTGAATCGATCCGCTTGGTGGTTATTCTTTTCATTTCAGCTTCCAATTCTCGATGTCATGTGTTCTTTGGTCTTTCTCTTTTCGTTTGGCCTTGAAGAGTCCAAGTTGGAGCTTGCCTCGTGATGAGGTCCGATGCTTTCCGCTGTGTGTATCCTATCCACCTCCAGCGCTATTTCCTAATTTCTCTCTGGTTTGTTTGTTCCTACAATAGGTTGTTGTTGATAGTGTCTGGTCAACAAATCTAGAGTATCTTACGTAGACAGTTGTTAATAAACACTTTAATCTTATGGATGATAGCTGTCGTCGTTCTCCAAACTGATGGTAATTAAATAAACAATTATATTCTATATTTCCCTGTCATTAAAATAATCTAAATTGAAATTTAGTCATGTAGAATAAACACAAAACGAAAATTGTTTCTCTAGTTGAAGTTATCCTAACTTCGACTTGTCAATAATTAAGGTTCTTAAGTGTTCAGACGTTCGTTTGCTTCAGTTCACTCTCCGCTACTCTTGCATTTAGTCACTAGCTATTTTAAATCATGACTTGACACATCTATAGCTTAAAGATGACTTGATTGATTCCCGAGAATGAACGATGAAATTTCCAATTCTGTATATATTGCTTAAAATAAATGTCGAATACGAAAGTGCTTCCTAGGCAAATAATTGAGTTACTCATTTCTGTAGGCAGGGATACAGTGCAGAAAGGTATACTTCAGTTGACACATTCCAATTTTATGCAACTGATGAAGGAAGATTAATAGATAGGTAATGAGTAGCGTAAACAACTAGTCGACATATGTATATACATATTTCAACTTTCAAGGTCAAGGGAAAATGAATGGTGGGGTCATGAATGCATGGAGAATAGTCGAGAAGATAGGTGATTTTTCAGTTTGAGAGTCAGGATGGCTTCATGTAGACTATAAAAAGTTACTAACTACAGTGCTTAATTTTATTTAAATGGCTATCACTTACAGATCAGTTAGCCCGAACACCATAAATATTCAGAATACTCAGGATTATGATTGATCGATTTTATAGATAATTTAAACAGATGAACACATTTCAATAGTGTTAGCAAGGGAGTTTTACTTAGTTCCATCCAAACTACTGTAGTGGAATACTTATATGAAGAGAACGCAATTGGTTTAATATAAACATTTATTGCCATAACCAATAGTACCAGTGATCCTTTAACTGTACTTTTTGTTTATAACTTTCTGTTTGGGTTGCTGCCATTCTTTGATGCATGCTGCTCTTTAATTCACCCACTTCCCTGGTTTAATTTCGGCGTTCTTTCGACACTACGAAGTCACCAGCAAATATATTCTTTACCTTGGATTTATTTATCTTCTCAGCGACGGCTTCGTAATTAGTATTTAGTGGTGATCATAGTCAATCTCCACTCGATCGTCACTAAAATTGGTGAGCTGACTTTTCATCCAAAGAAGTCTACTACGGTGAGTCTATTATTCATCTATCACCATTTCTTTTATCATGTTGCCATACTATTAATAATGTCCTTATACCTGCAACAAAGTTTCGAAATGGCGGATAGCTATAATTGAATAAACTCCGAAGTGCAGGTGATTGCATTTTCGCCTGTCTCCTCCCCGTTACTTTTGGTTGCTCGTTTATTTCACGTGAACGATTTCTGCCCTAACGCTAGGTACCTAGTGGCCAAAGGTGCTCAAGTGTATATTTTTATGCATTATTATTGACTTCGTGTTATATATGATAAATCTCTCAAAGTAGCTAAACTGAGGAGATTCTATCGGTGATTAACTATGTGGTAAGCCACATCGTCGCCTGCAGACCCCCAGTCGCGGATAAAGGTCGCCGACTGGCACTGGACAAATTAGTTTTCGCTAAGAGTGAGTTTGACAATTTAGTCGCTATATTTATTATTTCATCTTTCTCGCAGTCCTTGTGCCTACTCTCTCCACTCGGTTTGAAAAACAGATGGCGTTGGTTGTAGACCACACAGCGATTACAGAGCAGCAACGCAGATAATCAATGTTCCGCCTATGAACTTGTATTCGGCACCGCATTACATATGCCCACGGAATTTTTCACACCATGGAGCAGCGATTTTATGTTAATCAGATAACGTCCAGTGACTATCTGTGTAGATGCAAACACTGCCTCCGGTGTCAACTCGAACACGACATCGAAAGGTCGCTCTCCCTCGAGACTTATTTACCTGTCCATATGTTTTCATACGAGTAAATTCGGTACGCAAACCTTTGCAACAGCCTTACGATGGATCTTTTCACGTGATCTCTCGTCGCGAAAAGACCTTCAAGGTTGATGGACACAGTCAGCATTGATCGTCTCCAGCCAGCACACGTCAATGACAGTGCCCTACCCGATA